AATCATTTAACCAATTTTCCTACTTGCTGTGGGGTTTGATATTGAATTGTGGGATTGGCTTTATTTGCAAACGCAACACCTAAAAGGTAACGAAAGTGTTATCTATGAATATGTCTTTGGGTTTCGACAAAAATCATTTGGCTTGGGATTAATATAGAAACAAACCATACTATTTTATTTCTCACAACAATTTCAAGTAAGAATTTCCTCATTATTGAATGATATGACATAGCGGACGACATCATAAGTAAGGCCTGACTATAGGAAATGAGAAATTAATATTGAGGCTGAGTAAAATGTGCTATTCGTGGTATGCTAATTTCTGAATCTCAACTAAATTGTAAAAATTTCGACAAATTAAAGCGAAATCGACTATGATGCAGAGTAAATAGGGCTTTTTTGAAAGAAATAAGATATTGGAATTCTGAAGAACTCTTCCAACTATACATAATCGGCAGGGCTTAAGTAATAAAGGAAATTAATTTTATCTAAAGTGCTTTGTTATTTAGCCAAAGTAGGAGTCTTAATACTATATTGGCGTCTTGAGTAACCCAGCAACAGTGAGGTATTGGGTGCTGCTGGCCTCGCTTAACTGACGAATTTTAGGCTAAAACGAAACCAAAGATTTCGATTTAACGAAAAAGTTTAAAAAAATTATTTGAATTACCTTTAACTCACGACAGTAGATCAATTTCTGAGGTAAGCTGAGATAAACTACACGTATTTATCTAACCATCAAAATAATTACCATATATTTTATTTGTGTGAAATCTATCATATAACAAAAACAAAAACAATCTATAAATAATGATTCTAAGCAAGATAGTCTCATGAATTCATATACATACACCTATATTGGTCTTTTAAGTGGCAACAACTAGGCTAGGCAAATCACAATTAACCATTTTGGCTGTGGACGAATCATGTCTGACAACTATCTTCACAAAACAGCTCAAATAAACTGTGCTGCCTATTTTCGAAGATGTCCTACGCTTTTGCCTCTAATGGGTTTGCTAATTCGAGTATGAGAAAAGCATATAAGTATATGGGTAAAAATAATGGTCTTAAGAAGTTTTTATTACTGGTCTAGTTCGCTTTCGGCAAATTCATGCAGCATGTTATTCTCGTTGAATGGCTGATCTGAATCCTGTATGAAAAGACTTTTAAGATCTTCTAACAATTCGTTGAGTGGGACCTGACAGCTGTCCTTCTTTATTGAACAATCCTTAACTTTTTCTAATGACCGATTATCAAGTGCCATTTCTTGCCCTTCATCCTTTAGCCTTGACGATAACGAGGAGGGTGTTGAAGCGCTTGATGAGTTGGAGGTAGACAACATATGGATAGGAGGTAAATGATATGAACTCTTTTTAGGTTTGCCGGAGATTGGAGGGGACAGGTAAGTGGAAGGTGATGGCAGATTGCGTCCCATAGACGGCCATGGCGAGGTAATCAGGCAGAGGTTGTTGTTGTTCACTTCATTGTTGTTATTATTAGTTAAGGCGGGGGTTGCGTCATTGGTAGCATGGAACTGAACTTCATCATCATCCAGGACAAAAGAAAGGTTGGAATCTGCGCATGAGGAGTTTAAGTTCCGTGCAGGGTAGAACCCAAGATCAGCCGTTCCTTCTAATGACTGCGAATTTCGACAATTCGATTGGGTGTCTTCAGGTTTTATCGTTTGTCGTTTCGTGGCAAATGCTTCGGTTTCAGGATTAATAAAGATTCGCTCGACAAAACTGCTACGTAAAGAATTGCGCAAGTGATGATGAACTAGAAATAGCTGTATCAAATGAAAATGAAAATATTTATGTGAGGCTTTGGAAATAAATATTTTTCATCCTATAAATGCTCAATATATAACATTAAAAGTTATTATAATTATACTAGATATTCTATTTATTCGCCTCTGCAGCCTTCTTTTTCAGAAGAATTGAAGAAACTTTCAAATTATGGCAAAGCATTTTTATTTCTCCATGAGGTTTTGCCCGAAATAGGCTTTTATTGGTACAAGGTTTTTTTCAATAAGCATTGCACTCGAGATGCATATGATATAGCTCAGCCTATGGTGATTTATGTTCGACAATTGATTGTCGTGAGAACGTCGAGTACAAGATTCCCATGTGTCTAACTCTTTATTCAACACTAAGCACAAAATTAGAGGTTGAGATGCAATACAATAAGTGAGATAAATCTTCATCTATCTAGATCAAATATATATATATATATAATTATGTGTATGAAATAAATTACCATATGTAGTCTAAAGTGATTTAATGACTG